TAATTTTTTGATTTATTGTACAGATGAGGTCTCACCAAGTTGCCCAGGCGGGTCTCAAACCCGCGGGCTCAGGCAATCCACTCAGCGCCCAAGGCGCGGGATTACAGGTTGAGCCACTGAGCCCGGCTGGTTCCAGTTACTTGGAAGGCTGAGGTGAAAGGATCACCTGAACCCAGCAGGTCGAGGTTGTGGTGGCCGCCGTGAGCGTGCCACTGCACTCCAGCCTGGCGACAAAGTGAGACTCCTACTTTAAAAAGAATAAAAAAGGCCAAACGTCTCTGAGTCGGTCCCTGAAATGGTGAAGTTGCTCAGAAGTTTGGTAAGGATTCAATGAGTGGATACTGGTGTATGTTGTTTATGCTCAGTTAAAAGACTTCATAGTCCGTGAACTACTCCAAATTAAGCCGCGTGACTGCAAGCACGTGGTGGACTCGATTATCTAGTGAGTTATCAGTTGACCTTGCCCTTAGTTGTACAAGGACCAATGACTCGCCCACTATAGGCTCTTCCAAGAAGACAAGAACTTGAGTTGACCTCTTTGTCCCACGGGTGGGCAAAAGGCGGTTCAAACTCGCGATCAGTGATTCCCTAAATGTGGTCCTCACACCAGCTGCCGTAGAATTGCCGCCACCCCGAGGCTGTGGAATCAGATTTTCCTGTGGGGCCTTGGAATGCGCAGGTTGAACAAGCTCTCCAAGTGATGCGGGGGTAAACTAATGTCTGAGAGTCACACGTCTCGGAAACCCAGCTAGATGGAATTGGAGAATTCTGCAAACGGAGGAGATCCCCCCCAAAAAGCAGGACTAAGCTCAGTAGGGGGCTCGGTAAAGGGGGGCGATCTCCTCGGGGTGTTTCTATCAAACCACAAATGGCTATTAAACACATCTCTCACACCGCCAATCTCCCGCCACCGTAGTGACACGCGTCCGCAGGGTTATGCCCGCGAAAGGACCCTTGCCAGGGCCGTGAGTCTCACCGGCCCCTAAGCGCCAGGATAACCACGCCAGGCCCGCACCTGGAGGAAGCCCGGGTATCGGTTTCCGTTGCCAGCACCCAAGATGGCGGTACCAGCATCGCAACCACGATAACCACATGCTTCGTGCCCCGCCTCAGCCCTCTCGGGTCTCACTGGACTTTTGCAAGTCACTGTGGGAACCCTCAAGGGGGGGATTCCGCGCTCCGGCGGCGACACAACCTTCCATCCCCTGCAGTAGACCCTCACCTCCCAACCACAGAACGCCCGGAAAGCGCCCAGCCGGCACACTTTACTTTGCACCCAGCCTAGTTAACACCGCCCGCTGCGGGGCGGTGGGGCCCAGAAAGCCGGACAGTAGGCCCTTCGCCCCACTCATTGGTGGGCCCACACCGCGGGGCGGGGCTAGACAACCATTGGGCCGCAAACCACGTCAGTCTGGAAAAATCGGGTCGGGGTGGAAGAGGCACACTCAGCTATTGGGCTCGCCCCGCTGTCAATCAGAGCGACATCCGGCGACGGCGACAGTCTCGGCTCGTTGATTGGAGAAACCGTTCCTGAGGTGTCTGCGGCGGGCGGGCTTCCGA